AAGGGCGTCAATGGAAGGATTAGCATTAAAAAGCTGTCGTCTAGACAGGGACGCACATTTCTCTCTGAGAGGATACGGTGAACAAAATAGGAAGATTTAACGATAACAAGATTTTTTTCAGTATCCTCTCTAAAACTCCTTAAGCCGCATTAAATGCACCATTTTAGTTCATCTTCATTTGTCATCTCTCACTGTTCTCTCACAATCAGTTCGTGCATTCATGGGCCCACTCAAACATGAGCCCATCCATCTGGCTAAGCGATTCCTCTTCACTTCGAATAGTCACTTATCCAGTGCCATGGGTTCAATCACCTATGTATTTACTTTGATGCCATCCATTTACCAGCATTAGCGTACATCCTTTTTGGGTTAATTCAGATAGTTGATTCAGCATTTTTTAAAATCTTAGATCGAGAGTGAAGGAGGCAAATTTTCGGCTTGCCTGAGCAGAATAACATCGTGACCGTTCTTTGGGTTGGAGCGGCTCTTCAAATCAGACACATGGATGGACCATGTGACAGGGCTGTGGAAGGACCAGACTGGCGCTGACAGATTGAATCTATTCATGCTCTCCCAAATGGAAGCTGCTTTACCATTGCCGTTGCTCCGTTCGCCTTTGACTCGACAATGTCTGACAGCACAGCATACCCTAGGTGATTGTTACGTGACTATTCCACCACTTTTCCATAGCAGTGGCTGTAAAAAATGTCATTTAAAACGACATTTGACATGACTACAATAGGGCATGTTTTTGTGGATGGACCTCAGTTGAATCCTACTATTATTTGTGAGGTAAATGAAATTAATAAGATGCGAAAAACCGTACAAGTTTTATGGCTGATCAGATCGCAAGTGGCCTTGTCCTTCCATGTGTTGGTTATGCAATGGACTCTCTACGGTGGTTTACTGAATGGCCTCATATTCTAGGGTTGTAACCTACTTTTGTTGGCTGACATGTGATGTAGGTGAACAAGAGTTTCTCCGGGCCAATTTTCGGTCAATTTGGCAGGTCCGCAATGATTGCAAAATGTAGACAGAGTTAGCATTCAGTTGAAAGAGTGGCGAACACGTGGGACTTATGCGGTATTGCGAGCATATCCACTCACCCTTCAACTCAGCTCAACCGTCCTCCTCCTTCTCAGGCCTCCATATGAGGGAAGAGTTTGGCTATGTACGTTCTGTTACGATTGCAAATAACGCATCCATTCAGTTTTGGAGGATAAAGGGGAGTTTGAGATTTATTTGAACACGTTGATTAACAAGCAATTATCCCCGTTGCAGGTATCAGGATTGGGGGAGAAGGTTTGAGGACCTCACGTAATCTTTGCCATGGCATGTTATTCCAGCTCCACAGCTGAGTTTTCACCTTTACGGCAATGAGGCATCATCAAAGCTTCGGTTTTCTCACAGGATTACCAACTTTTTGACCTTTGACAAAATGAGCTCAAGCACCAAAGCCTGAAGTCTCATTTTCGAAGCCGGAAAATTGCCCATATAATTGGTAGAGATGTTTTCTTTCAAGAGCTACTAATGATTTTGTCAGTGCTCATCAGACTGTCACTTATTGAGGGGAAAAGAGGCGTTAATTACTGTCCCTGTGACAGCCATGTCGATGTGATTACGAGGTCGTATCACTGACCTAGCAAATGGATTTACTGAGGTCACTTCAAATTAATGCTTCTCCTGCCATGGCACTATGGTGCTGTGGCCAAATTGGTCACTCAAACCTGCGCCGCAGTCCTTCATTCGCGAAACACCTCTGCTATTTCCGCTGCTTTGAATCAGTTGCTAAGGTGAAAAGCCGCTTCAAATTCCTGAACGATTTTGAATGAGCTATTGAATGAATCTCCTCGACTTATGACCTCACCCTCATGGCCTCGATTAGGAGCTAATTTTTGCATTCACTTCTGATCGTTCACATGAGCACACTTATTTGTCAAAATGTGGAATTTCGAAGTTCCGCATATCGGCTGAAGATGTGGTTCCCACTGAAAAGGGCATTTTTAGTTGGTCGACGAGGGACTAATTGTCGGTCACCCGCGCAGCATGAGACGATGAAGAATCGAGTATTCTGGTGATGTTAAAACCAGCCCCTGAATTTGGCTTAGTACTTCAGGTGCTCAGCTCCTTTGGGGCAGTTTTACATCAAATGTTAACTCGCATTTGATGTCTTATTGCTAAGGGCAGTTTGAAGCAGTGAATAAACGACCGAAATTATTGAAATGGTAAGGCATCAAACAACACCGTACCAAGTGCTGAATTACTGATTACTTTTCCCATCTACATGACCAGGAAAGGACCCAAGGGAAGGAGCACCTAACAAGTCGGTTTCCACTTAGGCAACCAGACATAAATGCACCGAATTTTCCTTGACATGCAAAGTTGAGGGTCAGAGGTCGGAATTGCAACTTCAGAAAAACGTTCAGCTTTGAGGTTTTAAAAATGTTGCTTGTTTTCTTCAGCCCGGTATAGCAATTTGTTAATTTGCCTTGACCTTATCCCATGTTGACCAATATAAGCAGGATTGCAGTTAAATGGACCCGTCCTGTGTGAGGATTGCACTTTGCTCTTGCGAAAGACTACAACAGTATTGGAGGAATTTGTAGATAACAATTCAGCTGATGGCGACTATGTTGAGAAATTGTCTGAAAAATTCGATGATTTCAAGACATGGTTATTAGCCCAGTGAGTCAAGGATTACCGTTTGCAGAGGAGAGAAAGAGGAGGCGTGAAGCATGGAAGCAGACGACCAGAAGAAGCCACATGATGAGGTGTCGTCGTAGAAGTCAATCTGATGCCGTCAAGCCAATTCCCGGAAAATGCTACCAAGAACAGACTGCAGTAACCGACTGAAGTTATTCAGGCCCACACTTGAGCCGTTCATCTCATTTTCTTCCCAAACCTATAAATGCCATCCCATCAGGATGTCGTCAACTAAAGTCACTTAAACCAATAATAAGACTGCACTATTTACAGTGAAAGAGACGAGAATTGCGGAAGTGAAGATAAGGAAGAGGTGCACAGACAACGTCAAGCAGATGGTCGTGTCGTAGGAATGAGTCCGATAAGGGCTCGTATTTCAGGAGTGATGGAGGGGTGCTCGTGTCGGCGACAGAGGCGCACTAATTGCTCCCGCTCATCTGGACGGATACCTTCGCGGTAGAACTCCAAGAATGCCAAGAGGCTCTTGAACCACGTTAATGGCATTCGACCTTCCGATGTGAAATACATCGAACAGTTCGCCTTGTCAAATCTGCGCAAAGGGAGCACGAGGAAAGCGGACTAAGTGGATGAGAATAGAAATATACCAAAAGGAACATATGTAAAGTAGAAGGAAGAAATCTTGATGGGCAAACAAGCACCCTTCGGATGAATGGAAGTGGGAACTGTAAAACAAGTAGACAAGAGCACGAAGACTGTGCAAGATTCGAGAGCAACTCACGAGGCAAAGTAGGCGACAAGACGAGCAACAGCGTCCTCAGGCAGAAAGTAACGTTTGTTGATTATGGCCTCAATCACCATCGAACGTGGGATCGAGAAGTCCTCCTCACAGGTAAGGCTCAAAGCCACTGCGGAGAAATGCGCCCGAATAGAAGCCTTCTTGATGAGGTGTGCCAAAATGATCCCTTCCGTCTTGGTCATATCCGACTGTGATGAAAAAGTGCAAAAGATAAAATTGGGCAAGCAATCACAGTAATAGTATTGTTTGAATGATGAATGAAGACAGACACCTTTGGACATATGAGCAAGAAGCATCTGATGGAGGTGAATCGATTTGATCGCGTAAGTCTGACCCAAAATTACGCCCCAAGCACTTGAAACAGGATTATAACAAAAGCATTTCCACATGAAGTATCGAGCAGTAATCAACAAGCGGATAAGGTGAGCAGGGTACGCAAGAGATCTAAACTAGGCTTCACGTTATCACTAAAGTTTGGCGACCCGATCGTTTACAAAGGATGGAGCATTCTATCAATTTCCGAAGTAACATTAAACTAGGAGCAAGTACAATTGCAGGAAAAAGCGAAAATTGGAATAACAGCTGCCAAATCACCTTTATCCAAGGGTAGAATACAGCAGCCAGAAACTCGCGGACACGAAATAAGGAGGCGATGAGAGCTTCAAACAAATGAACACAAAGGCGGCCATTCTTAGCTATGTCGTCACGCACTTTAGGCAACAAATAGTTCTCATAGAAGCTAAAGTTAGAACAAACCCGATAGTATAGAGTCGGCTATTTTATTTTAATTTATGTGCTTAAAAATAACATACTGGAAAGCCTGCTCTCCTCCTTTTGAAGCGAAAACCTTGACAATCCGAGGATAAACATGGCTGGTCCACTCTAGTGGAGAGAGCATTTCCAGTAGGCTATCATACCCGGGCAAATGTGGGAGCATCTTAATCGTTTTGGGAAGAGGACCGCTGCGATAATGCGACAGAACATCCTTTAGAAGACGAATGTGGCTCTTCAATTCATCCGGTAGCTCCTCGAAATCATCAACAGCTTTAAAGTCATCGAGGTCTGGCAAACTCCCGCAATATTCCGACATTTCTTCGACAACCTGCAAAAGTGGCAATAGCGAGCTACAATTCTAGCATTTACCACAGATCTGGCCTCGTCAATATTCTGAAGAAGTTCATTGGAGTAGGCATCATCAGCATCTGCGTTTGGCTTGTAAAATTTCTCCCATTCCTCGTTATATTCGTCCTCAACATCATCCCCAAGAGGCGGGACTTCATTTGTAGCATACACTTCGCCATCCGATGAGTCATCTTCACCCAGAGTTAGCTTCTCAACCCTCTTCTTCCTAGTGAAAATACACACGAAAAAGTGCAACTTACTTCGGAAGGAGATCATTCTCCTCATTGGACTGTTTAAGAAGCTTGTGCAGCCTTTTGACGGAACGTTCATCAAGAGCCTTAAGATAAGAAATGATGATAGACAGAGCGTTACGTCTGTACAATCAAGTTCCTCATGCTTTCTTTTACTTCTGACTTTCGGCATGGTCAGTATGACAGCACAGATTGAGTAGTGATGAACCTTCGGGCTAAAGAAGCAATCGAATTTGTCCATTGAAGAATTAAAAGCATAAAAATAAGACGCTAAAATAAATTGATTTTATTGCTAAAAAGGCGTTTGTAATTTTTCGCTTTAAAATGGCACCGGTAACAGAATTAAACTGTGTGCAATTGAGGTGTGACAGAGGCCATCAAAAATTTTAGTGTGGTAAACATTAGTTTTTATCGATGAACGTTGAGTCCAAATTCTCATACTATTCATTATCTCCTTCCTTAAAACGGGTTTTGACCCATATAGTATTTTAAGTGGGGTACGGGACAAAATACCACTTTGCAACCGATAAACTTATGCTTCCACCTCGAAGAATTGCATCAAATTTAAAACTGGTCCGCCTTACTTGTAATCGTTCCTCTTGCCACAAAGTGCCTGTCAGCTTGACAAGAAATAAGTGCAAGAACTAATCACAAGTTCAAAACAGTTGTGAGCATCAGCTTAAGGTGAGGCAAATTGTTCTAACGCCCTGGAACATACCTCTTGGTGGAAGACGGTATTAATTTAGGCGGCTTACGTTCAATTTGAAATGGTTGGAAGGTAGTGGGCGCAGCGGCCCGAGATTTTCCTTAGGGTAGAATAAGGCAGTAAGTGAGACTGATACTTATGCTCCGAAGAGAACAGAGCAAATGGGTCTGAGCATGACCCGAAGGCTAGTTCACGAGTACAAGGGCCAGACAAATCCTAAAGTGACCGCTGAATGTGGGGTAACAACATTAATAAAGCAGTACACTAAGCCCTAGCTTGGACCGAAAGCCAGCCACGACTATAAGGGCAGGACAAATTTTGGGTATTTACATAAGCAATGTATTACACTGTCAACTACAACACTTGAAATCAGTTCATGGGTAGGATTGGTAATTATGTGAATAGACGGCTGGATGATGGTTGGATGTAATGTGGTTGCAAGCACTTTAATTACTTCCCTAAATGGTAAAATTTAACGGCTTTTATGACTCTTCAACGGTAACATTATTTGTGTGATGCTGTTTATTCGACTACCTGCATGACTGCTTTTGGATGCTTGGACTGGCCTATGGTCCAGGGCAAAACCCATTCCTTAACCCTTGACTTTAATACGGGTATTCAGTCCACTTAGTAGTGGACGAAGTTACGTGCTTTGCTTACTTAGGCTGGTCGCACCTGGCAAAGTGCAACGCTTAGGACAAAAAGTGATTTCTTACTTGCAGAAGTTCAGAGTAAATTAAAAAGGAAATACCTTTAGCAGCGAGCGTGGAAGGATGGCAATCGTAATTTAGAAATAGGAATGAGTGATCATAAGGTATACTAACTGAGCATGTATCTCTCTTTACTCCCTTTTTCCACGCCTTCAACCTGTGTGGATCCATCAGACTTCTGCCAAGCTCTTCACTGTCGCAGTGGACTAACAATAGTAAAGTTTTTCCACGACGCACATTTCCATTTCCTGTGACCAATTGCTGGCACTGAGACTGTGCCGCTGAAGTGGTGAGAAGTGCATTTAAAGCTTTGGACGGCAAAATTCATTCCCGGAGCAAGAGAGTGCACCATTCAGAATTCCAGATGACTAGATATGCAAATGGAACGAAGAAGCTGTTACTGAAAACCTCCTGACCGCCTCAACAAAAGGCGCACAAAATGCTAATAAAACTCTCTTATCAAGCAACACATGGAAGCCGCTTTTACAACGTCCAAATCAGTCTCAAATGGGCTGTGTTTTGTACAGAATTTCTGACCTTTAATTCAAAGGCATACTATTTGTTAAATTACTTTGAGTTCACTCACCTGGTCCTCCGACCATCTTCAATCACTCCTCAAATCACCCTTCCGCCTAGTTTTACCACCCTAAGGCGTGCTATCACTTGAAATCACACTCATTACTGTGCTGTTGCACCGTGTGCCATTCCTTCGCCCGACCCTTTACAACACTAACATTTTGGTTGAACAATCAATCAACACACCCTTTTAGAAGCACCTACAGAAATGAAGAATGAGTATGATACTCCATTGGTTCGCTTTTTGTAGCATTAAATACATCTTCGCGGGCAGCGACACTCGCGTAGGTAATTCGCATATGGACTCAGTAAGGAGATGAAGGCATGCCAGATGACATGTCATTGTCATGCTCCCTCGAGGACATTGCACATCATCTGCATCACACAGATTCTGCTAGTCCTTCCATTTGAAGGTCCATAATTTTGCTCTCAGTATGGATGGCCTCTCATTAGCTCTTGTTGGCATTAGTTTTTGCTTTTTTATATCTTACAAAGTCTTGTGGGAGGGAAGCTCTTCGGTGGGTGCCAAAGGTAAGTGACTCTGGGCATTACGTGTGTGCAACGTTGCCTTGCGCATGAGGAATTTATCCGTGGCTCGAAGGTGTAGCATTTAAAATGATAGGCCGATGGCAATGGAGGACAAGAGCTAAAATTTTGGGAAGAGGTTTTGTCAGTAGCCTCTCTTGTTTGCTGAAAGAGTGACAAGTATTGCAATGGATACAGAGTGGTGCTCATTGCCACCTAAATGTCAGGGCAGCAGGAAGAATGCTGATGTTTTGCCTCCAACTAACAGGTTTCATGGTAAGTGAAGAAATGATTTGAAGATTGTGTCTTCCTTCTGGAGTGGTTCATGTCTGCTTCAACGAAAGCGGACCGTCATAACTTAAAAAATAACTTTTCTAGGACCGAATTCCCCGTAGTTGGTTTGGAGCCACTTTTGCCGTTTGCATGCGCCTCGTAACCACGGAGGTTAGTATTCTTCCTCAATTTCACCAAATGACTCCCTAATAAACCACTGCCAACATGCAATGCTCCAAATTAAGTGTCGCAACTGAAAGACATCATGGCGGGTTCACAAACATCAAACCAGCTTTTATTCATAAAGGCGTAATTCGTAAGTGTGCACCTGAAGGTGCTTATCAGTACAAATGATAATTTGGAGTCCAAAGTAAGAGGCACTCGACAACTGTTAAAATACTCGTAACCCAAAACCATTCTCGACCAACCGTCAGTAGACGTAGAACTACTCGAAGGCGATCAGCATCTCTTCAACGAGGTTAAAGTGTCGAAGGCATCCACCAATTTGATGTGCCGACTGACTGAGACTCAGTTAAGCAGGAAGTGCGACAGCGTTGCAACCTTAACCTCTGACTCCTGCTAGTGGCCTCCTTTGCATGATCCGCATTATGGACGTCTCCTCCGAGGAACGTCCATTGGACTGAAGACAAGAAGTTCGTTGCTGTCATTGCATTGTGACAATGGCATTAAAAATATGCATTAGAGTTTGCCAAACTTTTCCAAATAGGAGAAAAATGTAGGAAAATTATTGTTGCTTTTGAAAAATCCAAGCGATATGGAGCATATTCAAATGTTAAAGTGTTCTTCTTTTGCTTGAATACCGTTGACAGGTATGCGCGGGTTACTTGAGCCCTTTCGGCGCCAACAATCAAACAAGTGATGGATGATAAGGCCTGTGCAGTGCATGTCCGTAACAACCGACCAAAGGAGCGACTATAAAGGCTCAATCAACCCCAAATTAGTAGATGGATCAAAAGGAGAATAGCGGAGGCTAATTTTGCGTCCGAGTCGTTTGGCTATGGTAGCTGATTAAGGTTGGCCGTCTTGCCGCCAGCGGTAGGCTCGAAGCACGCGTCTCTTGCAATGGAAACGACCGTTTTAAAATGGAAAAGTGGTGAGGAGAGGAATTCTTATAAAAGTGATTTATTAAACAAAACATAGATTGCTTAGTCCATCACCTTCACGCAGATACTTCCTCGAATCCAAACCCTTACGCGTTGTTTACTGTCCTGTTTTCCATTTGATTGTTTCATGCGTGGACGCAGGTGCTCTAACATCTTCAGGCACAAAAAAATAGTTTTTTTTTGCTTGTAGGAAGAAAGACTGAACACAGAGTCCGACAGCATCGACAGGTTCACAGGAAATGTCAATCAACTGGACATGCGCTAACTTTGCTCTCCATGCTATCCTGTTTACTTGGCATGGCTTCTAGGCGTCCGCATCATCTTGGCCTTGCACAAAGTGAAGTTCGTTCTCACTGCATGACATGCAGAACTGTTGACTACCCTCACGTAAAAACGGTTGTCTGAGGTGAATGCTTTTACGCCCCACCCTACATCGAGGCTAACATTAGAGAGGTCGCCTTCACCGTTTCACCAAATTCTCGAGATTATGACGAGGAGGGTGTTGAGAACTTGATTTCTCACAATTTTCTTAGCTAACAGCATCACCTCTCATCACCAAATGAGCCTTCCAGTCGTGCCATTCTCCTTCAGTTGAGAGAAAAGGAGTGGCCAAAGCGCTCCACCTAAAGCTTCAGTTCGGGTGCTGCCTCAATATTCTTAACTAAATTTGTAAATGAGTGAGACGCTGCAAGATTCTCGGAGGTACAAGCCGACCGCGGTAAGTGCAAGCATCGAGGAATCACACAAAGCTTGTACTCAACATGTGGACTCCAACAACCGCAGATGGGCGACAAGTCGAATTCGAGGGGGTGAGCTGAGCACAAGGCGTGCATCCATGTGCTACCGACGCAGAAACCTGCCAGTTCACTTTGCCTCCTGTTTCAATCTGCACTGATATTTGACGACAGCCTCCGGTTTTGCGGACAGGCACAACCATTTTCACACTCATTTTACGTTGCCAAGTTATCATGATTAAGGAGGAAGGGGCGAATCGCACCACGCTTCACCTTTTCTTGTTCCTATAGTATGCTGTACTCAAATCCATACATTTTTATTAAAAACATTAAATTTACCCCATTTTTATCCCTACAACTTCCTTATTGTAGGCATCGTCGTACCT